ACACACACACACACACACACACACACACACACGGGACACCTGCTCCGAGCCTCTGCTGCCAGACTGTGGCCATCAGTAGGACATCCACTGAGGGCTCCCGGACTGTGAGAGGGGCAGGCTGGGCTGATGGAACCCCCACCCCCCAGTGCACGAATTTCGTGCACCAGGCCTCTAGTCCTATATAATAAAAGGCTAATATGCAAATCAACAGAATGGTGGAACAACCAGTTTCTATGACATGCACTGACCACTAGGGGGCACTGCTCAATGCAGAAGATGCCCCCTGGTGGTCAGCGCACTCCCACAGGGGGAGCGCCACTCAGCCAGAAGCTGGGCTCTTGGCTGGCGAGCATAGTGGCCGTGGCAGGAGCCTCTTCTGCATCCACGGCAACACTAAGGTTGTCCGACTGACTGCTCAGGCCCACTCCCTAAGCTGTCAGTTGGACATCCCCCGAGGGTTTCTGGACTGTGAGAGGGTGCAGGCTGAGCTGAGGGCCCCTCCCCCACAAGTGCACAAATTTTGTGCACTGGGCCTCTAGTAAACTATAATACTAAACTACATCTGGGAAGGCAGGAGAAAGAGATGATGGCATGGGCCTCAAGCTGTATCTGTAATGCTTTGTTTCTTTAAATAAAAAGCAAGATTTTAAGCCTGTGGAAAAATATTCACAGTATTAAAGCTGGTAATAGGTATGTGGGTGCCAGCTATTTCTGTGTGTGAATTATTGATATCATTTTAAAATTTATTATAGAAACAAACCAGGGATAAATGCATGGAAAACCCAACTTGGGACAACTTGGATATGCACCTTCCCTGCAGAATGACTCTAGGTTAATGGGAAAACTGATGTTTGCTGATATTCAAGGCTTTCCCCAACGACACTATATGTCTATCTTTTTTTGTTTTCCAAAAAGGAAAACATCACGAAACCTCAGGAAAATGACTGGGTAGTTGGGATTCAAACATGAAATCTTGAAACCAAGATGTCACTTACCTATGGTTTTCACTTGAACAACTGCTCTGACTGTCCGGGATCCTGCACCGTCGGCCTGAGCGTAGTCGCAGGCGTACGTGCCCTGGTGGTAGTCATAGATCACGTCCAACTGCAGCGGGTTGCTCCTCTGCGCAGAGAGCAGTCTTCCATTCTAGTCCGAGAGACAGAAAGGCAAGTGAAGCTCTTTCTCCAGGGACTGTCTTGTCCTAATTGCCCCTTTCAGAGACCTTCACAGGTGTGAACCCGGAAGGGGACTGCCAGCCTGAGATGAGGACACGACAGTCATCCCCCGAGTGAGGAAGAGGTTCTGTTCAAAAGTTGTCTTTGCAAAGTTCTTTCTTAAAATAAGAGGAGTTTTAAATACCATCACGTTGTGCGTGGAGATCAGGCGCCCAATCTCGTCAGCCCACTAAGAAGTATTTCATTTATTATTTTCCAAAGCATGACTCAGGCCCCTGAGAGTATTCTAGAAAACGCATCATATTCTAAGTAGCTAATACTAAATTTTTTTTAAAAATCTATATGTTTATTATGTCTGAAAATTGATGCAGATTTTCTGTATATGGGGCTAATATAAAGCTTCCTCTTTAAATAAATTTAACTTTAATAAAATAATAAAATTTAAATGTAAAACATTAAGTCCATCAATATGACAGAGTGGCTGAGGACTGGAACACGGTGGTTTCCCTCGGTGCCTGAGCTGCCTGGGGACTGGAACAGCCGGGAGCCTTCCACTCGCTTTGGGGTCTGCTGGCGAGGCCTCTGGCGCTGCAGGGCGACCTGCCTGTCCTTCCCAGACC